CATTATAGAATAGATTGTGACTTGGAATCTGGGCCATTACCAAGACCATTTCGTCCCAACCACTCTGTTGCATCATCAAGCTGATGACACCTGCACACTGATCTTAGCTGAACCAAGATAGCAGCTGTTGACCTGGACATGTTTCCACACGTAGGGCTGCAGATGACTCCTGCTTGTTTACAAACACAACATCCAGAGCCCCATGTTTGGGGTTTGAGGTCTACAATGGGTATTTACAAAGCTGAGCCACTTAATCAGTGTCCTAAATGCTGTCCTCCACTTCAACCAGCCTGCAGATGCAACAAACTTTCAAGCTTAGGTTTCTGTCCTAGGCCTGCTGCAGTAGCCCACCTAAGGCCCAATGCAAGCTGGAGGAACAGCACCTCATTTTCTGCCTGTGCACTTTATAGCCTTTAGGACTCAAATGTTGAGTTCAACAACTTCAAACCATGCATTCTCTCCTTTAGTGTGGGTACATACCTTCTCTCAGTATCTTGGGTGCACAAGTTTGCAAGTAGCAGAACTAACTCATTTTCTAAAATTAACACCTACCATTAACACCTAGTTTATATCTCTATCATTTCCAACTGCCAAGAACAGTTCCTTTTGCTCTGCATCCTCACCATCGGTTCTACTTGTCCCTCTTTGTTGACATCTTGAAAAAATTTAATTTCCAGCCCGCAATCAGTGCTACTGGACTTGAAATATTAACTTAGCTTCGCTTTCCACAGATACTACCAGACCTGCTAAGCATCTCCAGCATTCTCTGTCTTTATTTCAGATCTCCAGGAGCCACAATACATAGATTTAATCAACAAAATGTCTATGGCAATCGTTCGTACCACGCATGCTCGAAACACTTCAAGGCATTACGTTTGTTCCAATCCGTAACTATCCGGGCAATTGATGTCAGCTCCGGGCCAATCAGGAAACAGGGGCGGGGCCAGAGGACAAGAGTTGGGGGCCAAGTGGACGTGATTAGCCCTTCAGCCAATCAGTGAGTGGGAGGCGGGGTCAAACAGACTGGAACATGCGCAACGCGGGTCTTGAGATGGCTGTTTTTCATGGGGTGATACGGCGAACGGCGGGAGAGGAAAAGAACTGCCGAGGAATAGCGATACCTCCGATACACCTTATAAAGGTTTTGAAAATCGAGAAAGAACCTATCTCTGCCGAATCTGGCTGAAGCCGTGCTATATTTTTGGGTCCCTCTGTCGCCAAGCGCGGGTTTTTGGTGGCCATCTTGGTCGGGGATCAAGCCGCAGTGGCGCGCATGCGTGACTGTCCTTGGCCGGGAAGTCGGAAGTAAGGATTGCTTTTTGTATTTTCTAATCAACCTGTCCGGCATTGCTACCGCAAGAAATTGAGGGGCCCTTTGCAGAAATATTTGTACCATCTATTGTAGTGATTGGAACGATGTTAGCCAGGCGGATCTCATAGAATATGAGACAAAAAAATTGCAGATGCTGGAATCCAAGGTAGACAAACAGGAGGCTGGAAGAACATAGCAAGGCAGGCACCATCTGGAGGAAAGGAGCAGTTTTCTGAAGAAGGGTCCAACCCGAAACGTCAACTTTCCTGCTCCTCTAATGCTGCCTGGCCTGCTGTGTTCCTCCAGCTCCATACTGTGTTATCTCTGACTCCAGCATCTGCAGTTTTTACTATCTCTGTCGATGTTTTGGGCATTACCCTTCTTCAGGAAGACCCGAAACATTGACTGCTCCTTTCCTCCAGATGCTGCCTGGCTTCCTGTGATTTTCCAGCCTCCTGTTTGTTTCTCATAGAAAATGAGTTCCCTGTTTGCGGCTGTTAACCTGGTGCAATCAGGGAGTCCTGACTGACAGATATAAACAGGAGTGCCAGGGAACTTGCTTACTCTAGAAGCCGGCTCTGAGCTAGCTGGCTCAGTGTCACGTACTATGCATCTGTAAAGCAAGGCTGGCTTGGTGATGGGATACTGGCCTTCATGGAGTTCTTTTGTATATAATTATAGGTGAAGTGCCAAATGGTACTGACAGCCTGGTTTTTGGTACTGAGACTAACAAAGGGCATGCCAGGTTCCGAGTGATCAATTGTGATAGGGGCATGGACAGATGTTTCTGCAGCCTACAGCTCAACATCAGAATGGTGTGTTGCCTCCCTGGTGCTGGGCTCAAGGATGCCTTGGAGAGGGTGCAGAATATTCTCAAAGGAGAGAGTGACCAGCAGGATATCATCGTACACTTTGGTGAAAAGGATGAGATTCTGATGAGAGAGAATATAGGAAATTAGGCAGGAGGTTAAAAAGTAGATCCTTAAGGGTAGTAATACCTGGATTACTCCTGGTGCCACATGCTAGTGAGACTAGGAATAGGAGGCTAGAGCAGATGAATGCATGACTGTGGAGCTGGTGCAGGGGCAAGGATTCACAGTTTTGGATCATTGGAATCTCTTCTGGGGTACAAGTGACCTCTATAAGAAGGACAGGGTTTCACCTGAATTTGAAGAGAAGATTTGCTAGTGCTAGTAAACTAGTGGTGGTGGCGGGCAGAGACGGGACCAAAAGAGATAGTGAGAAAAAAGATATGTCTGAGTGTGGTACTGTTGATTTGGTCCTTTTCTCAATCAGTCAAGGCAGGCAAGAGCAAGGCAGAGAACGAAGTAGGACTGATAAATTAAACATTGTTTATTTCAATGCAAGAAGTAAGGCAGAAGAACTCGGGGCATTGTTGGGAACATGGGACTGATATATCATAGCTATTACAGAAACATGGCTCAGAGATGGACAGGACTGACAGCTTAATGTTCTAGGTATGGATGCTATAGGAAGGATAGAAAAGAGGAGGGGGAGTGAAGTTTTTGGGTTGGGATAACATTACGGCTGTTCTTAGGGGGGATATTCTTGTGAATACGTCTGCTGAAGTTTATTTGGGTGGAATTTTCCCTGGAGCGTCGGAGGCTGAGGGGTGACCTTTATAGAGGTTTATAAAATCATGAGGGGTATGGATAGTGTGAATAGGCAAGGTCTTTTCCCCAGGGTGGGGGAGTCCAAAACTATAGGGCATAGGTTTAAGGTGAGAGGAGAAAGATATAAAAGGGACCTAAGGGCAACTTTTTCATACTGGGGATAGTGCATTTACAGAACGAGCTGCCAGAAGAAGTGGTGGAGATTGGTACAATTACAACATTTAAAAGCCATCTGGTTGGGCTTATGAATAGAATGGTTTAGAGGGATATGGGCCAAATGGGACTAAATTTTTATAGGATTTTGATTGGCATTGGTGAGGTGCTGTATATCTCTAACTCTAAGTGAGAAATAAGAAAGGGATGATCGCTGTACCAGGATTGTACTATAGGCCCCCTCAATAGTCAGTAGGAAATTGAGAAGCAAAGTTGTAAGATTTCAGTTGTAAGAATAATAGTGTTGCAATAGTTAGGGATTTTAACTTTCCAAACATAGACTGGGCTGTCATTGTGTTAAGGGCTTGGATGGTAGGAATTTGAGTGTGTACAAGAAAGATTTCTTATTCAGTATGTGGATGTACCTACTAGAGAAGGAGCAAATCTTGACCTTCTGTTGGAAAAAAGGCAGGGCAAGTCTCTGAGGTGTCAGTGGGCAAACCCTTTGGCCAGATTTAGGCCCATATCCCTCTAAACCCTGCCTATTCATCTGCCCATCCAGATGCCTTTTAAATGTTGTAATTGTACTAGCCTCCACCACCTGCTCTGGCAGCTTGTTCCATACATGCATCACCCTCTGCATGAAAAAGTTACCCTTGGGTCCCTTTTAAATCTTTCCCCGCTCCACTTAAACCCATACCCCTATTTTTGGACTCCCTTACCCTGGGAAAAAGATCTTGGCTATTCACCTTATCTATGCCCCTCAAGATTTTATAAACCTCTGTAAGGTCACCCCTTCAGCCTCCAGTGCTCCAGGGAAAACAGCCCAGCCTGTTCAGCCTTTTCACCATAGCTCAAACCCTCCAAACCTGGCAGCATTCTTGAAAATCATTTCTGAACCCTTTCAAGTTTCACAACATCTTTCAGATAGCAGGGAGACCAGAATTGAATGTTGTATTCCAAAATTGGCCTAATCAATGTCCTGTACAGCCGCAACATGACCTTCCAACTCCTATATTCACTGACTAATAAATGCAAATGTACCAAATGCCTTCTTCACTACCCTGTCTACCTTTGACCTCGCTTTCAAGAATCTATGAACCTGCACTCCAGGTCTTTTTTTGTTCGGCAGCACTCCCCAGAACCTTACCAGTAAGTGTACAAGTCCTGCCCTGATTTGCCTTACCAAAATTCAACACCTTACATTTATCTAAACTCCATCTGCCACTCCTTGGCCCATTTGCCTGTCTGACCAATGTCCAGTTGTACTCTGAGGTAACCTGCTTTGCTGTCCACTACACCACCAATTTTGGTGTCATCTGCATACTTACTAACCATACCTCTTACATTCATATCCAGGTTATTTACATAAATGACAAAAAACAGTGGAGCCTGCAATAATCTTCGTGGCACACTGCTGGTCACAGGCCTCCAGTCCAAAAAGCAACCCTCCACCACCCCACCCTCTGTTTCCTACCTTTGAGCCAATTTTGAATCAAAATGGCTAACTCGCCTTGTATTCCATGTGATCTCACCTTGCTAACCAGCCTAATCTTGGTGAGCACCTTTCTGAATTCCGTACAGACTGGTATGTGGAGTGGCAGATGGAGTTTAATTTAGATAAATATGAGGTATTGCATTTTGGTAAAACAAACAAGGGCAGGACTTGTACAATTAAAAGTAGGGCCCTGGATAGTGTTGTAGAACAGAGACCGAGGGGTTCAGAAACATCTTTCTTTGAAGTTTGCATCACATGTAGACAGGTTGGTTAAGAAGGCATTTAGCACACTTGCTTCACTGCTCAGACCTTTGAGTATAGGAATTGGGTCATCGTGTTGGGTTGTATAGGGTAGTTGGTGAGGCCTCTTCTGGAATACTGTGTCCAGTTCTGGTCACCCTGTTATAGGAAGGATATGATCAAGCTGGAGCGGGGTTCAGAAAAGATATTTAACAGGATATTGTTGGGAATGGAGGGTTTGAGCTATAGGGACTTTTTTCACTGGAGTGTAGGAAGTAGAGCGGTGACCTTATAGAAGTTTATAAAATCGTGAAGGGTATAGTTAAGATGAATGGCATGTGTCTTTTCCCTAGGGTGGAGGATTTCAAGACTAGAGACATATGTTTAAGGTGAGAGGAGAAAGATTTAAAAAAGATGAGAGGCAACTTTTTTTACACAGTGGTTCATGCATGGAATGAACGACCCGAGGAAGTGGTGGATGGGGGTATAGTTACAACATTTGAAAGACATTTGGATAAGTACATGAATAAGAGAGGTTTGGAGGCGTATGGGCCAATCGTAGGTAGGTGCGACTAGTTTAATTTGGGATTGTGGTCGGCATGGGGCTGTTGGACAGAGGGGTCTATTTCTGAGCCTCCTAGTTCAGAGGTAGGGACACCACCAACATGCCACAGGAGCTCTATGGGATCTGGGTTTCTATCCACTCTTTTTACTCAATGGGAAACATTTCACAGACAACAAACTCAAACCACATATCAAGAACCAATAGACTCACTGCATTTGCCAGGACCTGAAAATCGTTGGTCTTTCACTGTGGGTGAGAAAGAAAGTTTAATTGGTTGACTCTGTGGGGAAAGGTTTCCAAGGTAATTATCATTAGAAATAACCTGAGAGATTCTAAAGTATGCCTTGACCCTTTGTTCCCTCTTGATTGGACCGTCCCAATGCACTCGTGACTGGCCTCTCACGCTCATTCCTTCACAATCTCGGGCTCATCCAAAGCTATTGCTCATGGCCTAACAATGGCCAAATCATATTTGTAGATCATTCCTGTTCTTGTTGGTCTACAGAGGCACCCAGAAACATCACACATTTAATATCATCATTTTCTGTCTGCGGTTCCTGCATTGTCCTTCCCCTCCCTATTTTCATGTACTCCTCCATTTCTACCACCTTTGTGTACAGAGTTCTAGATATTACCTTCCACAGTGTGAAATGGTTTTTCCTTGTATTCTTTAAATTTGTGTCCCCTAATTCCACCATAATCTTATGGAAGCAACTTTTTCTTTCTCTATCTTGTTAAAATCTGTTTCAAATCTTCCCCTCAACATCCTCTGTTCGAAAGAGAATGAATCCCAGCTTCTCTTCCCAAATCCTGACCAAGGAGCTAAATTCCCTTTCTCCTGGAACTATTCTGATCAACCTTCTCTGCAGCTTTACATTCTTTTGAAAGTGTGGAGACCAGAACCAGACACAAAGCTCTCTTAACTAGGGCTTTATACAGGTTTAGCAATTGGGGTCGCTTATGAAGACTTGGGCTGACTGTCTGTTCATTTGAGCCTTTAGTTGACTGATCTTCATGACCCTGCCTTTCAGAGCTTTTCTCCAGTTCTACAGCTTCTCAGTCATTTTCTCATCAAGTCCACCACAGAGCTTTATTTCTGTAGTGCAATTAGTGCATTCAGCTGTTAATCGAGAGGTTGGTGATTCAAGAACATCCAGGGTCAGAGTGTTCACTGTTTGGCAGGACTGGACTGGTAATCCAAATCCCAGGCTAATGTTTTGGGACATGTGTTCGAACTCCACCATGATAGATGTAAAATGTAAATACAATAAATGTCTGGAATTAAGGGCTAGCCCTAATGGTGACCATGTAACCATGATCAATTGTCATAAAAACTCAGCTGGTTCATTAATGTCCTTCAGGAAATTAAATCACTGTCTTTACCTGGCCTGGTCTACATGTTTCTTCAAACCACAGCAATATCCCCAACTCTGCTCACTGCAATTAGGGATAGATAATAAATGTTGGCCCAGCCAGTGACACCCATGTCTCATCAAAGAATCTTAAAAAAAAATGACTCCTGTCACTTCCTTTGTTGGAATATCAAGTGACCATCAGGAAGAGGAAGGGTTCAATGTTGATGTTTGTTGTGAACTTGATTGTCATTCTTCCCCCGCCCCACTGCTTCTCATGTCTGGTTGCCCATGTAGGTGATAGTCAGACACACCTCTCAGGGACTCCCTGATTCCTAGCACATCTCCAAACTTTCTCTCTTGGCACCTGGTTATTAACCTTCTTTAGATAAATGAATACAATCTTCTCCTTACATTGGCCTACCCAATATCTCTGCATCATATTCTCAGACTAGAAGTAGTGCTTGTAGAATCCCTATTTGGCCCATTGAGTCCACACTGAGCCTCCAAAGAGCATCCCACCCAGACCTACCCCTCCCATCTTTTCTCTGTAATCCTTTATTGCAATGGCTAATCCACCTAATCTGCACACAATGGGCAATTTAGCATGGTCAATCCACCCTAACCTATACATCTTTCAATTGTGGGAGGAAACCCATATAGACACGTGTGTACAAACTCTACACTAACTGTCACCTAAGGCTGGAATCGAACCCAAGTCCCTGGCACTGAGAGGTAGCAGTGCTAACCACTGAGCCACGTGCTGCCTGTTTTGGGCTTGAATCCAAACTGCCTTTCTTGGATTTGCACAATTTTCCTCAGTCTCTTGTCCATGACTCTCTCGGATCTTGAAGCCACATGGGATGAATTTAATTGCTCAGTTGAGTTCATTCTTGAATAACTCAGTTTTCTTAGAATGTTGGGACCAAAATGCATGACATTCAAGCCCTTGGGGTTTTCTCTCTCAACTTACTGTAGTTGAGCAGTGTGTTCAGGACCTGGACCCTGTGTTCACTAGTACAGGTTCATTCATATTTCAACAAGTCTGACTGCTTTGCATTTTACATTCCTTTCAATGTCATTCTGACCTCTGCATTGTTGGTGAGGCTCAGCTTGTACCCATCAGATTTCACAGGAGTAAGAGGTGACTTGATTGAAACATATAAGATCCTAAAATGTATTGACAAGGTGGATGGGGAGGGATGTTTCCTTTTGTGAGGGTCGTGTGCATTTGGAACTCTCTTCTCTAAAGAAGGCAGTGCGAGCAGAACCCTTGAATATTTTCAAGGCGCAGGTAGATAGATTTTTGATAAGCAAAGGCATGAAAGGTTATCAGGGCGTGGGCAAGAATATGGAATAATCAGATCAGCCATAAGCTTAGTGAGTGGTGGAACAGCTCAAGGGATTGAGGGACCTACTCCCCCTAATTTGTATTTTTGCATCGTGTTAGCTACCAACCTTTCACTGTTGTAATTGCCTCTCCCTGTCTATACTGCCAACATTGATCGCCTAGCCACAGCGTCTAGATTAAGGGATGACATAAAGCTTTCATGATATTAACTGAAACTGATAAAGCATTAGAGAGTAACTGTTTCTATAGCTCAGAGAATCTCCGACTAGGCAACATCATCTATCTGTTCAAGCCAGAGGTCTCAGAAGTCACATTGGGAAAAACTTCTCCATGTTAAGTTAGGCAAACTGCTCCTCACAAGGCAGTTCACACTCTGTCAGAGATTTATTGTCTTTGCTAATACAAGGTGTTCAGGAAAGTGAGGCCTCACTGCTTGGTGGAGTGGGATAGGCTTGGGGGACGAAATGGCCAACTCCTGGAATCCTGATAGAGCCGTCAGTCTGTAGTGGACCCTGAAGAACCAGGGTCTGGGTTCCATCTTCTCCATTCACTGACTCCCAGCTGAAGTTGTTTTTGCACTAAAACTGTTCACTCTGAACAAAATCCTAATTTCACTTTGCGAGCAAAATCTACAACTTAAAATCAGTAGTAAAAGAGAATAAAAGTGTCTCTTTTTTTCAGCATCTTTCACATGCTCAAAATTCCCAAAGCGATTGACAAAGATGGATTTTGGAAGGAAGAATGAGGTGAGGGAATATGAACTAAATGATGCACAGAAATTCTTTAGAGTGGATGTACAGAAACCTTTGAACTTGATAGCCCAAGTTCACAAGTTCATCATGCTGTTATAAAACAATGTTAATGGAGGTCCCTGGATTTATTCTTTGAGGCATGTGAGATAAAAGCAAGGGAGTTAAGACAAACTTTACAAAACGTTTCTTATTCATGAGCTGAAATCTTGTTTGATTTTGAAAGATGTCAGAGTTTTGAAGAGGGTGTAGGGAACTTTTACCAGACTAGTATCAAGGTTGAGGGATTTCAGCTACATGGAGAGACTGGAGGAGCTGGGATAGTTCCTCTTTGGGCACAGAAGAGTAAGGACTGATTCAGTAATTGTGCTGAACTGTTTGTTTGTTTGTTTGTTTGTTTTTTTTTTTGGGAGGCATTTTCATCGACACTGGGAGTGACTGCTTTCATTGGCCAGATGGTTGGTAACTGCAGAACACAGCTTTAAGATCATTGGCAAAACCTCCAAGGTGAAAATTAGGGATTATGTCACTGAGTGAGTTATGATGGATTGGAACACACTGCCTGAATAACCCAGAAAAGCAGATTGAGTTGTGGCTTTTAAAAACAATCTAGGCTTTTACCTACTAAGGGAAGAAGAAGTTGGGGAGAGACAGATTGAGAGTATTTTCAGAGACAATATAGGAACAATGGGCTGAAAGGCTATTAGCTCTTCTCTGTGATTCTTTTGCATGGATTTACTATGAATTATTAAATTAAGGATATTACTAAGAGAGTGCAGGAAAGATTTACCAGGAATGTTGTCAGGTATGAAAGATTTCGGTGATAAAGAAAGGATAGATAGGCTGGAACCTTTTTTTACTGGAGTTTAGGAGGTGGCCATTTAGAAGTCTATAAAATCATGTGGGGTATAGGTAGGGTTAATGGTAGGTGTCTTTTCCCTAGGATTTTAAGACTGGGGGTATATTTTTAAGGTGAGAGGAGAGAGATTTAAAAAAAAAAACATGAGGGATAAATTTTTTACACAGGGTGGTTCGTATGTGGAATGAACTTCCTGAGGAAGTGGTGGATGTAGGCACTGTTTCAATATTTAAAAGACATTTGGATAGGTACATGAATAGGAAAGGTTTGGAGGGATATGTGCCAGGAGAAGGCAGGTGGGACTAGTTTGGTTTGCGATTGTGTTCGGCATGGACTCGTTGGACCGAAGGGTCTATTTCGGTGCTTTATTACTCTGACTATGACTCTCTTGCAGATTCTTATAGTACAGCATGAATGGGATCTGTTAAGCTCATTGGAAACACATTGGCTCTTTCAAAGAGCAGATCTGTCAATGGCACTCCCTCAGTTTCCACATATCCCTTGTCAAACATTCAGCCCATCACCTGCCTGTGACACACAGGGGAGAAATGTGGGGTTTGTCGGATGGAATTCAGTTATGCATCTGGGTTGGAACATTTCTTCCTGTGTGCCTGTAGGGGGCCTTTTAACTAGTCTGTGGAGGAATTCACTTGGTATTTGAAACTCCAAACATACCAGAGGGCTCGTACTGGAAAGAGATGATGACGGAGCTTTAAAATGCAGCTCCATTTTATAACCTCAGTGAGAATCAGAGACAAAATCTGGGTCCAGAGCCCCATGGGGTTTTTGAGATGAGATTTTGGGTTCATGGGCTCCTAGGCAGCGATACCTGGTGTGGAGCTTAGACTGCTTTCTGATATCTGTGGGGTCCTTTCAAATCCACATTTTAAACAAAAATGATGATGGTTGCAGCCTAATGGACAGGCTCCAAGGCCCAATAGTTGCTGGGGAAAAAAATACACCTGTGAGAAGATTTCTGTAGAGAGTCTATTTCTTCAATAATGATTCTATTATATTAATAGTCAGGATCCAGTTACATCAATGTTCAGATTCCAATTGCCTCTTAAATGTAGAATCAGAGTCCTATAAGATTCAGGATACTGACACTTGAAGAATCAGATAACGTTGACATTAATATTCTGGTTCCTATAACATCGACAATCTGGATCATACTGTGAAATAATCAGCTCCTATTGCTTTCATAATCAGGATTAAATTAATTATGCACCTCTCATTGCATTCCCAATCAGTTGCCTATTCGATCTGTACTCAAACGTTAAACAATCAGGAAGTTATATGTCAAAAATCACATTTCAGTTAATAATCAGAACCCTAATATATCATTAATCTGGATTCTGTTATGTTCAAGTCATTTTGATGTTTTGTCAATAATCCTTATCGTACAAGATGAATGATCAGAGTGGTATTGCACGACTGTCCAAGAGTCCAAGAACATTAATAATCTCAATCCATTTATTAGCTGAATGGCCTCCCTCCTGAGCCCCAAAACAGGTACTCTGGGGTCAGAGGCAATAAAATGAGGTCACTTCAGGAGTAGGTTTTTAAAGATTTTAGTACATTTATCTCAACACTCATCTCATCATTCAGTGTCATGTCTGCATGTTCTATGTTCCTCTTCTTCTTCACTTGTGGGATGTGGGCAGAGCTGGCTGGACCAACATTTATTCCTCATCCCTAACTGTCCTTCAGAAAGTGGTGGTGAGATGACTTCTTGATTTTCTGCAGTCTGTGCTGTAGGTGGACCAACAGTGCTGTCAGGGACGGAACTCCAGAATTTTGGCCAAGTGACACGAAGAACGATTCAAGGGCAACGTGTAGTTGTTGGTGTTCCCATTTATCTGCTGCTCTTGTTCTTCTGGGTGGTTATGGTTGTGGGTTTGAAAAGTGCAGTCCAAGGAGCCTTGGCGGATTTCTGCAGTGCATCTTGTAGATGGTATACACTGTTGTTACTGAGTGTCAGTGTTAAAGGAAGTGAATATTGAAAGTGATACCAATTAGGCAGCTTGCTTTGTGCTGGAATCTTGGAGCTACTTGAGTATTGGAACTGTACAAAACTGCGGATGCTGTAAATCATGAACAAAAACAGAAGTTGCTGGAAAAACTCGGCAGGTCTAGCAGCATCTGTGAAGAAAAAAATCAGTTAATTTTTCAGGTCCGGTGACCTTTCCTCAGACCCTTCCGATTTTTTTTCTTCACAGATGCTGCCAGACCTGCTAAGCTTTTCCAGCAACTTCTGTTCTTGTTGTTGGAACTGCGCCCATCTTCCTGACAAAGCTTATTATTATTATTAGTGGTTATCAGGTGCCATTGTGGGTTGCCATTTCTGGTGTTGGCACCTGCTTCATTACATTTCGGAACTGTCGGATGTGGTGTTATCAAACTGCACAAGGAAGGGCATGTTGCCATTGAAAGGAGTGTTTGAGACTGAAGGGTTTTGTTAGATAGCCAACTAGCTCCAAAGTCGAGTAAAGTCTTGTCCTACTGATGACGTTGAATGCTTTACTGAGATTAATGAAAATACGAAGAGAAAGTCTGTCCTGTTCCCCAGACCTTCTCCTGTAGCTGGTGTACAGGCAAGATCCTGTCGACTGTTGATCTGTCAGCATAGAAACCACGCTGTGCATCTAGACACAGTGGATGCAGTGTTTTAAACTCCCAAAATCCTTCCCTGCAACGCTAAGGAGGGAGATGTTGTTGCAGTTACTGTTTTTGTATCATGCTTGTCCTGTTGAACAGATTCTCCCAGTAAAAGAGGAGGTGATCATGAAGGTGCAGCAGTAGATGGGATTTTCTATATTTGAGCAGATTCTGTCCTTCCCAGGAAACTTTTCTGCTTGCTGAGCAATCAATCAATGGCTTTTTCCAGGTCAGGTGATGAACTCAACCACAACAGGAAGCTGCAGGATAGTGTCAAGTGGAGATTCAGAAATTTCTCTCACGGGAGTACAGCTCACAGCAGTGTTCAACTCCTTGGCTGTTTTCTTTCTGTCTACTTCTGTCAATGAGAAGTTCATTTCCAAACATCAGGTAGGAAATATTGGTTCTGGTCAGACCATGTGTGCTGTTGATCACCTCAAAGGTAGCACATAGAAATCTATTGTCACAGTCAGTTTAGATCTCTGCACACAGATTGATCCAGTGTTTCTTTATCATATCTCAGTGATTTGCACAACTGTCTCAATTACTTTCAGGTGATGCTTTCTGCTTCAATGACAGATGTCATCTCTGCTGATCAGTTGTCAAACCAGTCTTTGTTGTGGGTTGTACCTTTAGCAAATGTTGCTATGTCATAAATGATTGAATTAATTTCTTCCAACTTCATCAGATTAATGAAGCATTTATTGATGTGCTTGCAAAATATTTTACTATTTTGTTCCATGTTCATTGATAATTTACTTTCCTAATGGATCTGTCGCTTTGAATGTACAAATCAGCAAAAATTGTAAGAAGTACTCATCAACATTTTCTAACTGGAAATGTTAATCAGTGGAGCTTTTCAGACACTGAATTGTGCAGTTTAAGACTAATTTAGGATGGATGCAAAAGTTCATAATTCCACTGTAATTATATTTGTAGATAAAATCCTTGAATTAAGGGGGAAGATCACAGCTGCATAACAGGCATTTTGGCCTCAAAGTTGTGATACATTGAGAATGTCAAACTGCAACTAGATTTATTGATTGTTAATGTCAGTGGAAACAAACCAAATATTGTCAGATTGTCAATCATGGACATGGTTAACAGCAGAATCAAAGCCCTGTAATCACTTATGGATTCACTGATGTCTCTGCGCATGGGATGTCCTGCCCACAGTGTGAACTTGACGTGTCAGCAGTTGGGATGACCAAGGGAATCTCTACCCACGCACAGAGCAGGTGAATGGCTTCTTGCCAGTGTGGTGCGTTGGTGCTCTTTGAGGTCCATTGACTGCCTGAACGTCTTTCCACAGGATGTGCAGTGGACTGGATTTTTCCTTTGTGTGAAAATGATGGTGTGACTGGAGAGCGAGTAACTGAGAGAATCTCGTCCCACACATGAAGCAACTGAATGGTTTATGCCCTGTGTGAATTCGCTTGTGTTCAGTGAACGTGTTTGAAGATCTACAGCTCTGTCAATGGATTTCCAGCTGGGATAAGTAATTAAATCCTTTCCCACAATCTTCACACTTCCTTGGTTCGGGTGTTCCTGAAAACTCCCAATTCCCACTCCAGCTCTATCCACTCGGATAAGAACATTTCAGCTATGAAGGTTGGGTTTGCTTTCCTTGGAGCAGAGAAGGTTGACGGGGTTGGAGTGGGGCCTGATTGAGGTATATAGAAATTATGAAGGGCATAGATAGGGGAGATAAAAGAAACCTTCTTGGTGGAGGGATCAGTAACCATGGGGCATAGATTTAAGATAAAAGGCAGGAGGTTGAGAGAGGATTTAACCAAGCTTTTTATTTCACTCAAGTAGGTGGTGGCTGTCTCAAACTCTCTGCTTAAGAGTGATAGAGGTCAATAACCCCTCTAAGATTTTAATTAGTTTGCAGGCCTCCGATCTGTGTGGCAGCAACTTCTGCACTAGAAGTCAATGCATTAACACAGTGATTAGCATGCGTGAGCAGTGGCCACACAGCTTAGGTTGAACTCTGGTAGAGGTAGGAGCCATCACGACATTTAAGAAGTATTTACATGAGCACTTAAAACACCATAGCATACAAAGTTATGGGTCAAGTGCTGGAAAATGGGACTAGGTTGGATAGGTGCGGCCTGACTGCTGCGGATACAAAGGACTAAAGGCCTTTTGTTTTTTCTTGCTGTAAAAACTCTACGATTATAAGACTTGACAGTCATTCAATTTATCAGAACTTGAATCTCACCGGCATTTTGATTGTGGAAGGAAAAATGTCTGCATGTGTCTGAAAAGATTTCAGAGATCAGAATAATTGGAAAAATACCAAAATACTTTAAATCTTGATCAGGCTACAGTTGATCTGCCAGAAAAACTTTTTTTAATGAAAAATGCTGGAAATATGCAGCAAGTTAGGCAGCATTTGTGAATAGAAATAGAATTGAGTCTTCATGTTAATATCAGCTTTCATAAGAACAGGAGGACTGTATTCAGTTCTGGGCATCACCCCTGAAGAAGAATACATTAGTGTAGACCATCAGGGGAGAGCAGCTCAGATATACCCCAAAGATATTTTTGACAAAGGCACAAATTACAAGTCGTGGTCGTTACGGCACAGGATTGTAAGCTTATGTGCAGGTTACATTTATTAAAATTCCATGGTAGAGCCCTGGGTTGTGTTGTAGATCAGAGAGACCTAGGAGTTCTAGTATATATAATTGTTTGAAATCTACATCACATGTAGATAGGGCGGTTAAGAAGGCATTTAGCATGCTTGTCTTCATTGCTTAGACCTTTTATGTTTAGGAGTGAGGATGTCATGTTGAGGTTGTACAGGATGTTGGTGAGGCCTCTTCTGGAGTACTGTGTACAGTTCTGGTTGCCCTGTTATAGGAAGAATGTTATTAAATTTGAAAGGGTTCAGAACAGATTAGCCAGGATATTGCAAGGAATGGAGGTTTAAATTGTAAAAGTAGGCTGGATAGACTTGGACTTTTTTCACTAAAGCATTAGGAGGTTGAGGGGTGACCTTTATAGAGGTTTATAAAATCATGAGCGACATAGATAAAGTGAATAGCAAAGGTCTTTTCCCTAGGGTGAGGGAGTTCAAGACTAGGGGGTATATTTTTAAGGTGAGAGGAGAAAGATTTGAAAAGGAAATGAGGAGCAGCTTGTTTACACACTGAGTGGTTCCTGTGTGGAATGAACTGCCAGAGGAAATGTAGATGCAGGTCCAGTTACAACATTTAAAATACATTTGCATAAGTACATGAACAGGAAAGGTTTGGAGGGATATGGGCCAGATGCAGGCAGTTGGGACTAGTTTAGTTTGGGAATATAGTTGGCATGGACTAGTTGGACGAAAGGGTCTGTTTCCATGGTGTATGACTCTAAGATGGTTTTTGGCCCTCCTAGTATCTCTTCAGCAATACAGTCTCTCTTTTCCTTCTGTATCCTTCAAACCCTCTAAATTTAATTTCCCTCCAGTATCTGCTCAGTTTTCTTGGCAAATAATTCACCATCTATATTTCCACTACCCTCATGACCGATGAGTTCTGGGTATTATCGCTCGAAGAAACTTACCATCACACCCCACCATATCTCAGTCTCAAAACCTCAAATCTGTGTCCTTTGATGTATGTAAGAACACAATAAATAGGAGCAGCCTTTCATACCCTCAAACTTACCCCACCATCATGGCTAACCTGTCTGAGGCCTCAACTCCCTGATTTTTTTTTTTTTTTAAACTGTCATTTTTCTTTTTAAATACTTAGATGATCCAGACTCCACATGTCTCATGGGTCAAGAATTCCAGACATTCATTACTACCTGGGAGAAGAAATTCCTGTGCGCTCAGTTTTAAATTAGTTTCCTATTATTCTGTAACTGTGACCCCAAGTTTGGGGTTCCCCCACAATGGAAACATCTGAACATCTACCGCGTCAAACCCCTTCAGAATCTTATATATTTCAATAAGATCACCACTCATTTTTCTAAACTCTAATGAAAAAATACCTAAATTGCTTACCTGTTTTTGATAAGTCAACCATTTCTGGAAACTAGATAGGTTAGAGCAGATAGGCTGTGGGGGAATCTGATTGAGGTGTACAAAGTTCTGAGGGACATAGATAGGGAGAAATATTTCCCCTTAGTCGGATCAATAACCAGTGGGGAAGTTTTTAAGGTGAGGGAGCCATAGAGGGGGAATGAAGAAAATAGCTTTCACCCATAGAATGGTAGGTCTCTGGAACTCATTACCAGTGAGGTGGTAGAGGTGGGAGCATCAAGACATTTAAAAATTATTTAGATGAGCATTTGAATACAAGGCTATGAGCCAAGTGCTGGAAAATAGGATTAGAATAGATGGATGTTGTTTGACTGGTGCAGATATAATAGACTGAAGGGCTTCTTTCTGTGCTCTGTAATTAATCCCAGGAATTCATCACCAAATTTTTGTCAGCCTGCCTTATCTCAGCCTGTCGAAATTTTGTACACCTAATGTGTGCTGACTAGAACTGGATTCTAGTTGTCCTAAGAGCTTTATAAAGAGTCAACCTGTTTACAAACTCTATCAATTCAGGAGGAGGAAACATCCTCTTGCTAGTTTCCATCTGAGAAAGCATGACTGTCAGTACTTTCCAAGTCACTCCATTGTTTGAAGTATTTTCCCACAGTTAGAAGAGACAAACATTTCTCCTTCCACAGTGAAAAGGTCAATGAATTTCAGCGATATTCAGGGACTGTCGGGTGTTGACACGACGTTGGATTAGATTTTCCTGTCTCTAAATCTTCACTTCAAAGACCCTGTGAAGAAGGAATTGACAGAAGTCCAGACTATAAATACAAGATAGAAATTCAGAACAGACAATTCTAGTTTCTCTGGAAAGTTATTTTTCAGTTCTTCTCTAATGGAAATGACCTGAACCCTGTCCAAGACCAGACTCTAGCTGGGATAGCAGGACTGATGTTTGAAGAGAGACTGGATTGATTAGGAACTGCAATCCCTAGAGTTTAAAATAATGCAAAACATGTAAAATCCTAACAGGCCTAGACAGAGCAAAGGATGTTTCTGATGACCAGGGAGTTTGGAACCAGGGATCACAGCCTAAGGGTATGGCATTTAGAACTGAGATCAGGAGAACCTGGAGACTAGTGAGCCTGCGAAATTCCCCGCCACAAAAAGTGGTTGAGGCAAAACAATTGAATGAGTTCATTAAGGAGTTAGTTATAAAATCAGAAATTGCTAGAGAAACATCTTAGCTGCAGTGAAGTTGTGAAGAAGGGTCACTGGACTCGAAATGGGTAACTCTGCTTTGTCTCCATAATGTTGCCAGACCTACTGGATTTCTCCAACAATTCCTATTTTTGCTTCAGATTTCTAGCATCCACAGTGTTTTATTTTAAGGAGTTACATCCAGTTCATAGGGCTAAAGGGATCAAAGTGGGAACAGGGTACTGAGTTTGATGATCCGCTGTGATCATACTGATTGGTGGAGCAGGTTCGAAGATAACATCAAAATTGATGGTATAGTGGACAGTGAAGAAGGTTATCTAAGATTACAAAGACCTTTGAGTATAGGAGTTGGGATGTCATGTTGATGTTGTACAGGACGTTGGTGAGGCCCCTTCTGGAGTGAGGTGTCCAGTTCTGGCTATCTAGTTATAGGAAGGATATTATTAAGCTGGAGAGAGCTCAGAAAAGATTTACGAGGATGTTGCTAGAACTGGAGTGTTTGATTTATAAGGAGAGGCTGGATAGGCTGGGACTTTTCTCACTGGAGTGTAGGGGGTTGAGGGGTGACGTTATAGAGGTTTATAAAATCATGAGGGGCATACAAAAGGTGAATGGCAGGTGTCTTTTCCCTAGGTCGGGGGATTTCAAGACTGTGGGGCATATTTTTAAGATCGTCTTTAAAAAAAGACGAGGAGCATTTTCTTCACACAGAGAGTAGTTAGTGTGAGGAATTGACTGCCAAAGTTACAGCGTTTAAAAGGCATTAGGATAAGTACATGAATAAGAAAGGAGGAAGATGAAGGGCCTTTCTGAAGGGTTCCGACCCGAAACGTCAGCTTTCCTGCTCCTCTGATGCTGCTTGGCCTGCTGTGCACCTCCAGCTCCACACTGTGTTATCTCTGACTCCAGCATTGGCAGTTCTTACTATCTCTGGGGAGAAGCCATTCAGCTGTTCTGTGTGTGGGAAGAAATTTACTTCAACAACCTTCCTAATGTTACATCAGAGAATTCACACCGAAGAGAGGCCCTTTAGCTGCACTTACTGTGGGAAAAGGTTCAATAGCACATCTTCACTCGCCATACAACAGCGAATTCACACTGGGGAGAAGCCATTCACCTGCACTGTGTGAGGAGGAATTTACTCGGTCACTTGGCCTTTTTGATGCACCAGAAAATTCACACTGAGGAGAGGCCCTTCAGCTGCACTTCCTGTGGAAGGTGTTTCAAGCAGTCATCCACCCTCACTGCACACCAGCACACACACACTGGGGAGAAGCCATTCAACTGTTCTTTGTGTGGGAAGGGATTCACTCAATCATGTACACTCATTGCTCACAAGTGAGTTCACACAAGGGAGAGACCATTAAGCTGCTCTGTTTGTGGGAAGGGATTTGCTTAGTTATTTATCCCCCAGTCATGCCACGGAATTCACACTGAGGAGAGGTCATTCAGCTGCACTTGTTGTAGAAAGAGTTTCAAGCAGTTATCTGACCTGTGTGTACACCAACATACTCACTTTGGGGGGAGGCCATTCAGCTGCTGTCTGTGTGGGAAGGCATTCACTTGGTCCTTCAATCTGCTAAGACATCAGCAAGTTCATAGGTGACGGCAGAGTTTGGATTCTTCTGTCGCTTCCAGCATTGACAGTCTGATAGTATTTGATTTGTTTCAGTTTATTTTGACAATCTGTATAAATGGCTGGAATTTCATATTTTGTATGTGGCTAATTTTTCAGGGCTGGATCATATTTCCCCTTAATTCAAGAATCTTTTCCCAATATTCCTGCACATCATTGCTATCCAAAAAAAAATTCCAGTGCCCTCTTCAATGCCTCAATTGAATGTACCACATTTCCAGACAGTGCATTCCATGGCCTAACAGTTCACTTTGTGAAAAAAGCTTTAAGGGGCAGCACGATGGCTCAGTAGTTAGCACTGCTGCCTCACAGTCCCAGGGACCTGGGTTCGATACCAGCCTCGGGCTGTGTGGAGTTTGTCCAGGGCTGTTTGGGTTAGACATGGGGAAATGCAGGGGTAGGGTCGTCGGAGGCGTGGTGTGGCCTGTTTCCACACTGTAGGGATTCTATGATGATGATCACCTTGGCTTAATTTGAAAGTCACTTTAAATCATTAATCTTTGCAAATTCTGCACTTCAATGTTTAACAGGTTCCAGTGATTCTCATCTCTAATGAGAATGTACAAAATAATCCTCTCTGACAATTCTTACTGACTAATACGTTGCAGTCAGTGACACTTCTGTTATGAAACTAAATTATCAAGGAACCATGAAATGAAATTGTGAAATATTTTACAAACTATCAATAAAAGCTTCATCAATTAACATTGATATTGATGAGGTCTGGAAGTCACAATGTTCAATTGTTTATGACCTAGCAGCAGCAATTTTTGGGAAAAGTGGATCCCACAACAAAGATTGGATTGAGACCTGTTCAGCAGCAGAGAAAAAAAACTTGTGCCCAACAGCTAGAAACTGTATTGTATGAAAGTTGCCAATTCAGATAGATACAGTGCAAATAAATACTGGATCAATCATGTCCAGAATGCCAAGCTGCCTGTGATAGTGGAAATCTACGTGCTGTGTACGATGGGATCAGAGGATGCTTGGTGCTATCATCAACCCCCTGAGATTGATGGATGGGCAAGTGCTCATCGAGCAAAGATGCTCTGCTGAATTGAACATTACTCTTGAGTTATATGGGACAGACATCTCCCTGTTTCTATTTGATACCTTCCTGTTGTTTCTTGTATGGTTGAGTTGAATGATGACCACCCCTCCCACTGCATCACTTGAGCTAGAAAATGCTGTTGATTGCTGAGCAAGTAGAAATCCACTTGCATTAAATTTATAAAATCTTCAGAAATTTATTGAATATTGTAGGATTAGCTCTCTTGTGGTAATGAAGAAAACTTCCTTGTTAATGAGTGCAGGAAAGCCAAGCCCAGTGGACTTGGACTTTGTCTAAGCACAAGATAACTTTGAATCCAACCCCAGAAAATATAGAAGAAACAGTTTATGTATAGTGACTGATAGCACTAAAAATAATTATTCACTTTGTCCTCAACACACCAAGTCATAGTGTCACCCACTAAGACTCTGCCAGTGTCTTGAAGTCTGGGTTGTGGTTTGACACTGCTAGTTGTGGACTATCCATCAAATAGGTATCCGAGAGGAGAATGTGATACTTGGACTTGATTATCTTCATCGGGGTGCATATGGTCTCGCAGAGATATGTGGAACTAAAGCATGCTTTCACTTTTGGAGCAGATAGAGTCATACAGCATGGAAACAGACCCCTCGGTCCGACTTGTCCATGCTGACCAAGTTTCCCAGGCTAAACATGCTGGGAGTGATTATTTTTCTCTGTTTATGAATCACCAAAAATGGCTGTCCCTTGAAATGACTTTCAGCTCAGAATCATTTTGGCAAAGCAATTATCTCTGTATTAACTCCACTGCTTTGTAAATCAAATGCCTGATGGAATTTGGTAGTCAACCCACCAATGTCAGCTTGAAAGAATGGATTTGAGATGCTCTGTATTGCCTCTATTATTTCTCCTTTGTTCTTAAAGTCTTTGAATTTAAAAAATCAGTGACACACAGTCGTTGCTTCTTTAATTATTTCACCATCTGAGAATGATTAGTGTTTTGCCAAAAGATTCAATGCTGCTGGTTTCAATTAAATAAAATCAACTGGTGAGCTTTCAAAATGGCCTTCATCTCCCCAACTTTCTTTGCCCAAAGCATGCTTCATAAGGAAAATCCTTGAATTTACAATACGTCATTATGTGGTAGTGTTCCAAATTCCCCCTTTTACTGAGGAAGGGTCACCAGATCTAAAACATTTACTCTGATTTTTTTTTTTTTCTTCACAGATGCTGCCATACCTACTGAGCTTTTCCAGCAACTTTTGTTTTTGTTCCTGTCTTTATTTATTGATATACTTTGGTTGAAATGTAAGGCAAGACCTCTTATCACTTACAGTTATGAGCAAAATAAATTTTTCCAATCCATGAAGAAGTTGTCCATTTTTGGTTTCTTTTTAGATAGTCCAGATTCATCACTTATCTTTATTGTTCCTCATTGTAGTTCATGATGTCACTTTGCTTCTGGTCAAGCTGCAGGTCGGCCTTAGTAACTGATCCTCAGGAACATCCACCATGTTGTTGGTTGCTTTCACATGTGGAGGCATGGAAGGTCACTTCTGTGGCTGTTATTTGTTTCCAGAGCCCCTGGTCAGCTCGTATGTCAGGCACAGCAACATCCCCATAATTTTTCTTCATCCTGTATGGCATCACACACCAGTTTCTTGTATATTCCTTATTGATTTGCCACCAAGAAACCAGATTTAATCTGCAATGATAGTCCATCTGGACCAAACTGGAACAGGATGCAACAAACTGCCAAAATCTTTTATTTTAAGATCATGCACATTTTCGTTCCAGCTATGCACGTCTGGATGCGGAGGTCATGCAGCAGGATGATGGTCAATGTGCCTTTGGTGAGGGAATTTAGGGTGGTGAGATTGACTGACTGTCAGAGACATGCAGTGAGGGAATGTGGGCAGGCAGTAAAATTGACTCTGTATGATTGGCCAGTTGATCATAATCTATGTGTCGGGAGCCCACGAGACTCAACCTTTCACTGCTGCCAAGGAGATGGCTCCAGCACAGAACCAAGATGATCCTGACAGGTGGGGTATTTTCTGTCCCTTACATAAAGCAACTGCTCTGAGTACAGCTTAAACATGACATCCCAGCTAACCAGTCTCAAAACGAGTTCATGGACTTCTAATTCCAATTCCTACCAATTTTTCTAGATGCACCATAGAAAGCATTCTATCTGGATGCATCACGGCTTGGTATGCCAACTGCTCTTCCTAGGACCATAAGAAACTACAGAGAGTTGTGAACACAGCCCTGTCCCTCATGCAAGTCAACCTTCCATCCATTGACTCCATCCATACCACTCGCTGCCTCAAAGGCAGACAACATAATCAAAGACGCCTCCCACCCTGGTTATAATCTCTTTCATTGGACAGAAGATACAAAAGCTTAAACACACATACCAACAGATTGAAAAACAGCTTCATCCCTGCTGTTATTAACCTCTGAATGGACCTCTCAATTTTCAAATTTAATGTAGATCTTGCTCTTTGTGCACTTTCTTTGCTGCTGTAACATTGCATTCCTCGCTCTGTTCTATTACCCTTCTGCATTTTGTATGGTGTGATCTGCCTGTGGTGCATGCAGAACAAAACTTTTCACTGAGATCGCAAGAACTGCAGATGCTGGAATCAGTCAACACCGTGTGGAGCTGGAGGAACACAGCAGGTCAGGCAGCATCAGAGGACCAGGAAAGTCAACGTTTTGGGTTGGAAGGTCCTGACCCGAAATTTCGACTCTCCTGTTTCTCTGATGTTGCCTGACCTGCTATGTTCCTCCAGCTCCAAAACTTTTCATACCTAGGTACATGTGACAATAATAAATCAAATCAATGAAAATTGGAGGAACTATCTTGAATGCCTGTCTCATTACCAATGGACCATTGAATAAATGACAACATGAGATCCCTAGAAATAAGCTAAATGAAGGGAAAGAGAAGGGGGGGGGAAAAATATCACTTCACACAGGAAAGGGCCTGTCAGAGTGATCCACGCTGGCTTTGGCCTAAAACTGTGCCCAGCTCAGGAAGACTGAGAAAACGAGTCCAGCCATGGAAATCAGCTTTATTTGTCTGAAGAATGCCCAAAATGTTGACTTCTCCTTTCCTCAATGCTGCCTGGCTTGCTGTGTTCTTCCAGCCTCCTGACTGTCTACCTTGTATGTCTTTTCTGACTGTTTCGATTACATACCATCTCTAGCCTGTTGCTTCTTAAGAAAAATTGCTCTAAAATGACTTCTGACTTTGACCTTCTCCTTGAATAACCTGTAACTCCTGGTCTAAAGTTTATCTTTTTATTGAGATGGGAATAAGAACTGGAATAATTTAGAGTCATGACAAGATGTTAGTGTGGCTCAGCTGAGTCATGAGGTAAGGGGCTCCAATCCATTTCTAAAAACCGTGAAAGTCCAGGTTGATATTCTGATGCTGCACTGAAGGACTACGACAATGTCATAGAGTCATACAGCATGGAAACAGACTTTTTAGTCCAACCCTTCCATGCTTAACATAACCCCAAACTAAACTGGTCCCATTGGCCTGCTCCCAGCCCATATCCCTCCAAACCTTTCCTATTCATGTCCTTATCCAAATGTCTTTTAAATGTTGTATTTGAGCCCACGTTAATTGCTTTCTCAGCAATAGAATCCCTACACTGAGGAAGCAGGCCATTCGGCCCTTCAAGTCCACACTGACCCTCCAAAAAGCATCCTACCTAGACCCATTCCCCTACCCTATCCCTGTAACCCTGCATTTCCCTGGCAATTTAGTATAGCCCATCCACCAAACTTGCATATCTTTGGACTGTGGGAGGAAACCAGAGCACCCAGCAGAAACCCACACAGACGCAGGGAGAACATGTAAATTCCACACAGTCGCCCAAGGTTGGAATCGAACCCAGGTCCCTGGCACTGTGAGGCAGCAGTGCTAATCACCATGCTGTCCTGAAGTGCATTCCACACACAAACTGCCCACTGTGTAACAAAATTGCCTTCATGTCTTTTTAAAATCTTTCTTCTCTCACCTTAAGATGTATCCCGCGGTCATGAAATCCTCCATTCTAGGGAAAAAGATACCTACCATTAACTCTATCTATACCTCTCATGTTAAACCTCTATAAGGTCACCTCTCAATCTCCTATGTCCAGTGAAAAAAGTCCCAGCCTACCCAGCCTGTCTTTATAACTCAAACCTTCCATACCAGCAACATTCCTGGTAAATGTTTTCTGAATCCTCTAGCTTAATAATATCCTTCCTATAACTGGGCGACCAGAACTGGACTCAGTACTCCAGAAGAGGCCTCACCAATGTCCTATACAACCTCAACATGACTTTCTAACTCCTATACTCAAAGAACTGAGCAATGAAGGCAAGCGTGCTAAATGCCTTTTTAACCACCCTGCCTATATGTGATGCAGACTTCAAAGAATTATGTACCTGAACCCCTAAGTTCCTCTGTTCTACAACACTACCCAAAGCCCTACCATTAATTGTATAAGTCCTACCCCTGTTTGCTGTACCAAAATGCAATACATCGCATTTATCCAAATTGAACTCCAGGTGCCATTTTTCTGCCCATCGATCCATGAGACCTTCAGTTACAGCCATGTTTGTGACAGGATGAAATAAATGAAAACTTTCCATAAACAAAGGTCCAAAAATAGAATTGTCATTATAAAATTATTGAATTTTGCAGTATATAAGGAGGCTATTTGACCCATCATCTCTATACTGGCTCCCAAAAGAGCTATGCAGCTAGTCCCACTTTCCAACATCTAGCTCTCTTTTGGAACCTCCTATGGAATTTGCCTCCACCACTCTCCCAGGCAGTGCATTTCAAATCCTAACAACTTCTGAGTAAAGAGGTTCATCCTCATCTCACTCCTGGCTCTCTTTCTGACAATCTTGAAATTCTGACCTCTAGTTACAGACATACAACTGTGGAAACAGAGTATCCTTCTTTACCCTGACAAAATTGTTCATAATTTTAAATATCTTAATTTTGACAAAACAAGAATGCAACAAAGTGTGTTTGACACATAGCTGATTTAGTTAACCTACAATTCAGAATCCAGCCCAGTTACAGGGACTATTAATATAAACTGAAACAAGTGCCCAAATGTACATGGCTCAGTCCTGTGTGTGATTAACATAGCAATAACAGCAGAATACAACCCCTGGAATCACTTGTGAACTCCGTTATATATCTGCAGGATGGATTAATGTGTGAATGTCTTTGGGCACAGATAGCAGGTGAAAGGTCTCTCCCCAGTGGTGAGTCAAGAAATACTGGTTGCTTTTAAAACTCTTCTCATAGTTAGAATACTTAAAAGGTCTTCACACCACAGGTTGGTGTGAAATGTCTTTCCCTGGTGTTTGATAGTTCTCTGGCATTTATGCAAGATGGATAACTGAGTGAATTCCTTCCCACGCTCAGGGCAGGTGGATGACCTGTTTCCAGCATGAACTCGCTAGTGTCTCACCAGGTAAGCTGTCCAAGCAAACCCTTCCCACACTGGGAGAAGGTGAACAGTTTCTTCTCAGGAGGTCTATCCTATTCCTTACACCTGTCTTGTCGAGACGATGCTGTCTACTGTCGATCCACCAGCACTGAAACCGCACTCTGGAAACAAACACCCTGCGAGTGGATAGAAACTTTTTAAACTGAATCTAGTGAAGGTTTTCTATGTGAGTTGTGGAGTGAGATGCCCCTGTCGATACTGCAATCTCCTCTGTCCCCTTGTTTTTGTAGATTGTGATGGTGTTTTTGCATCATGATGATCTATGAAACAGATCCAACTCCTAACAGAGGAGAAGGTCGTAAAAGTGCAGCAGTAGATGGGACTTTCTGTGTTGGAGCAGTTCAGCTGTGATTCCATCTTTGTCGGAGACCTTTCTGCTTGTTCCACAATTATTGGCCTTTTCATGGTAAGGTGATGAGGGTAACACATCCAACACAGTCATGACAGGAAACTTCAGGAGAGCATTAGATGGTGACTGGCAGACGTCTGGCAAGTATATTTCATAGTCATGTTTAACCTCATGGGGCATCTGTTTAGTTCTGTGAATGAATATTTTACCATGTTGGATGGCACAATGGCTCAGTGGTTACCACTACTGCCTCACAGTACCAGGGACCTGGGTTTGATTCTACCCTTGGGCGACGGTGTGGTCTGTGTGGAGTTTGCACATCCTCCCTGTATGTCATTTTCCTCCCATAGTCCAAAGATGTGCAGGTTAAAGTGGATTGATTGTGCTAAATTACCCATAAGGCCCAGGGATATGCAGGCTAGATGGGTTAGCCATGGGAAATGCAGGGTTACAAGGATAGGGCAGGGAGGCGGGTCTGGGTGGGATGCTCTTTGAAGGGTCGGTGTGGCCTTGATGGGCTGAATGGCCTGCTTCCACACTGTAGACATTCTATCTACCAAATTCGAGGGTTGGGTGACAACTTGGGCGATGGTGGAACCAAGCACTCTCTTGATCCCATACATAGCACTTTAGACAGTTTGGATTTCCTGACATGGTTTATTTACACAGTTTCTCACTGTAACCTGCACACAACTGTTGAGGTTACTTTCAAGTGTTGCAGATGCTGTATTTTTGTTATGTGTTAGGTAGACTATGCTCTTTGCTTCAGTTACAGATGTCACAACTGCTTAGCAAGTCTCAATTCAGTTTTTCAATGGAAATCTAAGTGTTATGTATAGGATTGAGAGAGCGCTTAGTCCCACCAGTACAGAAGTTAAGTCTCCATTTGACATTCTCCTGCAGCTTGCTGATTTGGTTAATTTGGACAATGAACCCTTGTCGCTTCAGATGGACTAGGCCACCTCTGGCTGAGAAAGCAAAGAGGCTCCTAATCCATGCTAGAATCACAGCTCCACTGCTTGTGGATTCCACTTAACACTGCTGCTGCTTCTATGTCATAAAAGATTGAACCCAACAAGTTCAAAACTTCATCAGCATCAACATTGATGTATGAAGCTTTGATTGAATGTTTCTGTAAAATATTTCACTACTTTGTTTCATACTCCTTGACACCTCACTTTCATAATAGAGGTGTTGCTGTGGAGAATTTGAAAGTCATTAAGAATAGTCAGCAAGGATTAATTGTTAATCAAACATTTTTAACTGGAGATGTTAAACCATTCGGAAACCAAACTGTAGAGCTTACACCAAAGATCAAGTCAGGATTCAAGTCAAGGTTCATAATTTTATTGAAATCATGATCCTGTTGATAAATTCTTGAATTACAGCAAAAGATTATAGATGTTGCTTTTAACAAAAATGACAATTATAGATATTAAGTTCAGTTGAAACAACCCAAATATTGTCAGATAATTATTCCTGGATCTGATCAGCAGCATCAATAACAGCAGATTCCAAACCCTGATGACATGTATGTGCTCGCTGATGTAACATTAGGTTGAAGGACCGGGTGAATCCCTTTCCACATGTGGAACAGGTGAACGGCCTCTCCCCAGTGTGAACTCGCTGGTGTGTCAGCAGTTGGGATGACCAAGGGAATCCCTTCCCACATGTAGAACAGGTAAACAGTCTCTCCCCCGTGTGAACTCGCTGGTGTGCGTTGAGGGTAGATGACTGTCTGAAACTCTTTCCACAGAAGACGCAGCTGAATGGATTCTCCTCAGAGTGAATTCGCTGGTGTATCAGGCAGTTTGAAGACCGAGCAAATGCCTTGCCGCACACAAAACAGGTGAATGGCTTCTCTCCTGTGTGAACCCGCTGATGTGATCGGAGGTAGGATGACTGCCTGAATCCCTTTCCACAAGCGCTGCAGCTGAATGGCTTTTCCTCAGTGTGAACTCGTTGGTGTGACCAAAGGCCAGATGAATGAGTGAATCCCTTCCCGCACACAGAGCAGATAAATGGTTTCTCCCCAGTGTGGATTCTCTGGTGTGCAGTGAGGTCAGAAGACTGCCTGAACCCTTTCCCACAATGAGTGCAGCTGAATGGCCTCTCCTCACGATGAATTCGCTGGTGCAACGTAAGGCTGGCTAATTGAGTAAATCCCTTCCCACACACAGAGCAAGTGAATGGTCTCTCCCTAGTGTGAACCCGCTGGTGTGCAGTGAGGGTGGATAACTGCCTGAAACTCTTTCCGCATTGAGTGCAGCTAAATGGCCTTTCCTCGGTGTGAATTCGCTCATGCACCACAAGGTTTGCAGACTGAGTGAATCCCTTCCCACACACAGAGCAACTGAATGGTTTCTCCCCAGTGTGATTTCGCTGGTGTGTCAGCAGGGCAGATGACTGAGTGAATCCCTTCCCACACAAGGAGCAAGTGAATGGTCTCTCACCAATATGAACTCGCTGGTGTGACAGGAGTTCTGATGAAGATTTGAATCTCTTTCTACAGGATGTGCAACTGAAAGGCCTCTCCTTAGTGTGAATTCGTTGGTGTACTACCAGGTTAGCTGACTGAGTGAATCCTTTCCCACAAACAGAGCAGGTAAATGGCTTCTCCCCTGTGTGAGTGCGTTGGTGTATCATCAGCACAGAGGACTGAGTGAATCCTTTCCCACACACAGAGCAGGTGAATGGTCTCTCCCCAGTGTGAAGTCGTTGGTGCGCAGTGAGGGTGGATGACTGTCTGAATCTTTTCCCACAATAAGTGCAGGTGAATGGTCTCTCCTCAGTGTGAACTCGCTGGTGTAACATGAGGTTGGCTGACTTAGAAAATCCCCTCCCACATATGGAGCATATGAATGGCTTCTCCCCAGTGTGAGTGCGTCGATGAATTTCCAGCAGGGATGGATAATTGAATCCTTTACCACAATCCTCACATTTCCATGGTTTATTTTTAGTGTCAGCCACATTGTGACTGCGTTGATGATATTCCAAACGCGATCGGTAATTGAACACTTTACCGCAGTCACCACATTTCCATGGTTTCTCCATGGCACTGCTGTCCTCGTGTCTCTCCTGTTTGAGCAATTAATCGAAGCCTTGTTCACAAGCAGAACATGTTAACAATTTCTCCGACTTTGAATGGGGCAATGTATTTTCAGAATGTATAGCAAGTGGAGGGTTTGCCACAGTCGGGGCACAGGAACACCCTCGATCAAAGGGTGATGATGTTCAGATCCTAGTGATGTCTCCTGTTTGCAAATCCTCCCCTTCTAATATCCTGCAGAGGGAATTTACAAAATTTATCGTCAATACAAGATAGAAACTCAGAGCAGTTAATTCTAAGTTCTATGCAGCACTTTTTTCGTATATTTCCCCAAGACCTTTAAATCCAAATCTATCGCACTATCTCTTCATGCTACTTCCAGCTGACTCCATTCCCCTCCATGTTTGTTTCTCCAGCTCGTACAATCAGATCTTCTCCTGATCACAGACACTGAAACCCTGCCCACTCAGTAACCTCACCAACATGGCCGTCTACTTGCCCTGCGTTTCCTCCTCACCAAGACGGCGGACAGCCGGTTGCCTGGGGAACCCTGGTCCTCCCTAGGGAGGAAACACCACCTCCCTGATCCGCCCTGACTCCCACTCACAAGATGGCGGTCAATGAGCCCGCTCCCCCAGGGCCTGACCCGCCCGCAGGGTAAACACGGGGCCTGTGAGCTCTTATTCAGAGCCTCAGGCCTCCTGCAGGATTTGATAAAGTTGCCGGGCCCCAGTGCCGTGATCTCCTTTTCTACCCTGTATCACAATCTTCTCCCGCCGCCTGACACCGTCCGCTCTTCTTCAAGCTATTCCCATGACTGACATTGAGCATGCTCAGAGCACAGCCTGCTCCTATTCCTGCGCACTGGGCTTCCGTTATCACTGATAGGGGGCTTTCTGCACTGCAGGGAGGTCTAGGTAAGTAATCTGCCATTGGTCTTCTGCAATCGCTGATACGCAACTTTAGCAGCACGGGGAGTCTGGGTACATAATCTGCCACTGACGTTGAATTAGTGACTAATAGTTAATGATTCGGCATCCCAACCGGAATCGACCCCAAGGCCTAAAACAAAATATAAGCACTGAAATTATGTAAGCCCAAATGTGTAGACCTTTCTGCCTGTTCATCCTGCAGTTCGCTTGTACCTCCTTACCATTTCGGGAAGAAAAAGTCAGAAGTGGAAATCCCCAAGGTTCTGTGCTGATACCACTGTTATAGTTATGAAAAAATAAATATTAAAATGTAGAACAGAAACCAAAGGGGGAGTGTATATGTAAAACTGGAAAGAATGCAGAATAATACAGAAAATATTTAAAAATTGCAGACTGGGCAGTGAAATGGCAAATGAACTTCAACGGTAATATGCTGTGATGTACTTTGGTAAGAAAAATGATGAAAACCATCCTACACCTTAGAGTAACAAGACTGTTGATGGTGTAAAAGAGCAAAAAAAATCTCTGCAGACAACTTAATAATTAATTGCAAACATAGTCACAAGCCTGCAAGTCATTTTTTTTAAAAATCACACTAATTTCCAGAGATACCAAATTCAGAACTAGTGAACAAAAACAAAGTTGCTGGAAAAGCTCAGCAGGTCTGGCAGCAGCTGTGAAGAAAAAAAGTGTTAACGTTTCGGGTCTGGAAATGTTAATTGTTTTTTGCTTCACAGATGCTGCCAGACCTGCTGAGCTTTTTCAACAACTTTGTTTTTGTTCCTGGTTGACAGCATCCGCAGTTCTTTGTTCTTATTCAGAACTTGTGAAGTTAGGCTCATGTTGCATGGTCCTAAGCACAATTCATGCTTTAAAAAGGACAAAAAAAAATCACTAATGAGTGTGAAAAGGTAAGAATTTACAAAGATTTATATCAGAACAGAAAATTTTCAGTTATTGTGAAAGATTGAACAGGTTTGGCTTTTACTGTTTTGAATTGGAAGCCCTCAAGTGGCCTACTGCAGGATTTTTAAATCATTCATGGGTAATGTAGATTTGGACCCAATGTTCCCACTTGTGGGAGAGTCAAAAATAAGCACCATAAATGCAAGAGAGTAACTAATGATTCCAACAAGGAAATAATGAAAAATGTCTGAATAGCCAGCTGTTACAAGGGCTTCCCAAAGTGCATGTTGGAACCTCACATGGGGTCACGAGCTCCAAGGCAGTAATGGCCACTCTGAAATTCCAACTAAGAAACTACTGATACCATAAAACCATTGCCTATTGTCAGAAAATAAACACACCTGGCGCATTAATGTCCATCATGGAAGGAAATCTGCAATTCTTACCTGGTCTGGCCTACTTTGACTCCAGACCCACAGCAATCTGGCTGACTCTCAACTACCCTCTGAAATGGCTTGGCAAGTCATTCAGTTCAAGGGCAGCTAGGGGTAAGCAATACATGGTGGCCAGCCAGTGACACTTATGTCCCATGAGCAAATTTAAAAAAAAAAGCTATGGTCTGCTCTAACAGGTACCCACTCTTATAAATTTGCCCTCTCCCACTCTCCAAAGTCTCAAACCCACACCTAAAGGTCTTCTTCACCTCCATCCTCACAGGTCTCTCTCCCTTACCGTGCTCTCTAACCCACATACGCCCAACTCTATAAGACAGCCCCTTCAGGCTGCTGCACCATTCAATCAGACCATGACTGATTCCACATTCTTCCCGTCCACCTTCCTGGTCTCTTTCCCCATAATCCTTAATAGCCCCACTGATCAAGAAACTATCAGCCTTAAATATACACAAGGAGTCTGCTTCCAATCTCACTTGGGCAAGGAGTTCCAAAGACACTTGACCCTGTGAGAAGAGATTCCTCCTCATCTTAATCTTAAATTTGCACCTCTTAATTCTGAGGCTATGACCTCCAACTCTGCTCTCACACAGGTGTCATAATAATTTTTAAACCTAAAAATGAGATCATGGTGGGAACATTTTGAGAAGCATGTTAGAATGTAAAATTCACAACCACATGAAATGATTGATTTGACTAGCTAGGGTGCTTCAAGAGAAACATAGGTGAGAACATGAGAGAAGACAAAATGGAAAGCTGTCAGACCAACAATGTATGTGGAATGTATTGTATTATGTCATTGAATTATGACATAAATACTAGACTTGAATGATCTGCTTCTGAACTCAATATTCTCTGTTTTTCAAAGTAATCTTTGACTCACTCCTGCCTTGTATGTTCCACTCCACCATTTGGACTCAGCAAACCTAGAGTACAACACAATGCTAGGAGTGTAGGAGGCTGAGGGGTGATCTTATAAATCATGAAGGGCGTAGATAAGTTGAATAGCCAACTTCTTTTCCACAGTGTAGGGGAGTCCAAAGGGCATAGGTTTAAGGTGAGAGGAGAAAGATTTTTCACAAGGAGGTTGATGCATCTATGGAATGAGCTGCCAGAGGAAGTGGTAGAGGTGAGTACAATTACAACATTTTAAAGATATTTGAACAGGTACATGGATAGGAAAGATTTAGAGGAATATGGGCAAAAAGCAGGGAATTCGGACTAGTTCAGTTTAGGAAACCTAGTCAGGCATGGTTGAGTTGTGCTGAAGCGTCTGTTTCTGTGCTGTATTGCTCCATGACTCTCTAAACCTGCAGGGTTCCTGTACTTATTCATAGAATGGATTCAGGTGGACAAATATGGATTTTAACACCATCTTTGAAAACTCAATTAGTGAACAGATTTTTTTTTAGTCAACAAAATGAGACTGGAGTGAATAGAATGTTTCAGTCTTTTAATCCAAAGTCACAGAGGTGGGTTCATGCTTGGGTCTATTCAGTGTGAACCAGGAGGCATGTTAATTCACCAGTCCACAAAGCTCTCACCCCCATTTCCACCATAAATACACTTTCACTCATGACCAACACCATTCCCCTCTAGCCAAGATTTGATTCTGAAGCGGACCAATTGCATCCTTGGTTGCTTATTCCATCCTGAGCTAAGTTACCATCTACATTGCCTCTTCATCACGGAGATCAACTCTTTCCACCTCTGGAAAATCACTTGTCTCCTTCCTACCTCACCCCATTTACTTCTGAATTCCTCTTCCATGACATAGTTATGTTCAATTTCTACAACTCCAATGCTTTCCAGGCTGATTTCCCCATCTTACACACTTCATAAGTCTTCTCAAAGCTGTGTGGTAATATGCTCAATAGGTGTGTCCCACGGAAAAGAAGAGTGCTTGAAAAGGCTTGAGGAGAGATGGAACAGAAACTAAAGAAAAACGTATTCAGGGCCAGGACTATAAAGATCTTTACAGGCAATTTTCCCCAGTGGGCTATAAGACATAGGAGCAGAAGTAGGCCATTTGGGCCATCAAGTCTGCTCCACTATTCCATGGAATCAGGACTGATCCAACTCCATGTTCCTGCCTTATCATGGTAACTTGTGATACCCTTGCTGATAAGGTATCTATCCATCTAGGTCAAAGAATTGTAATAAATTTGTCACGCATGATTTCCCCTTCATGAAGCTATGCTGACTCTGATTTATATTATGAATTCATAAATGCTCCATTTTTATAATACTTTATACATAATACAATAGAATTTTCCTAAAGACAGACATTAAGCTAACTGGTCTAACCTGTTTGTCTTCCTCCCTTTTTAAATAAGGGTGTTTGTTACATAGCAGTTTTCCAATGATTTGGGACTTTCCCAGAATTGAAGCATTCTTGGTAGATTACTACCAGTGCATTCAATATCTCTGCATCTTTAAAATCTTAAGATATAACCCATCATATTCAGGGGACTTATCCTTTAGCCCCATTAGTTCCCCTAGTATTTTCTTTTTGGTGATAATTATTTTGGCTCTTCCATTCCATTCCCCCTTTAGCTCCTTGATTATTTAGTATTCTTGGAATGCTATTCATGTCCTCCACTGTGAAGACTTATAAAAAATATTTGTTCAAATCCTCTGCAATTTCCTGGCTCCCCATTGTTATTTCACCATCCTTGTTCTCCAAATAACGTATGTTCACTGTGGTTTCTCACTTCCTTGCTTTATATTTAAAGAAGCTCTCACTGTCTGTAGTGATGCTACTTGCTAGTAACAGCCTACATAGTTTATTTTTTCCCTATTTTCTTATTTTTTTGCTCATTGTTTCTTGGTTTTTAAACTTCCCCAATCCTCCAATTTACCATTAATCTTTGCCACACTGTATGTTTTCTTTCAATTTGATACCATTCATTTTTTTTCCTTAGTTAACCATGATCAGTGTATTCCTTTCCTAGAATCTTCCTCACTGGGCTGCATCTTTGCTGTGAGCCACGAATCATTTCTTAAATATCTGCCATTTTCCTTAAATCATATTTTCTGCTGAACTCCTTTCCAAGTCCACTCCAGCCATCTCTATCGTCGTTCCTATGCCATTATTTAAGTTTAGCACAATAGTTTTTAAGACTTTTTTATTGTAAGATTATTTATTAAACCTGCCTCATTACCAAGTCCAAAAATGCCTCATCCCTGGTTGGATTCACAGCATATTGTTCGACGAAACCCATTCTGAATACTACATTAATTCTACTTTGTGGCTATCTTTGGACATTTGATTTTACCAAACTACAAGCTAAAAGTCATCCAGCATTAATGTGAAATAAGTCAGTACCTGTGCTCATTAACTGCAGCATTATTCTCTCTGTCTTACAGTACCATCTGTTCGAGACCCGTAGACTACTCCCACTGGTCTTCTTCCTCTTGTTATTTCTTACTTCCATCCATATAGATCTTACATATTCCAATCCAACATCATTTCTTGCTATCGTACTAATTTCATCACTTACTAACAAAACTACTTCACTATTTATTGTTTGGAAAAGTCACATTCCCGAGTATCGAGTTCTCCACTTTGATTTTCTTGTAATCATGTCTTTGTAATGACTATAAGATCATACCCATTAACCTCTATTTATGTTGTTAATTCATTTGTTTTGTTACGAATACTATGTTCATTTAGGTGAAGAATCATTAATTTTGCCTTTATACATTTTGTTTCCCCTTTGACCTGATTTGCTGTTTTGTTTAGGCTTGTATACTTTATTCCTTCCTGTCCTACTCTGGCATCATTACCAAAATAGTTGCCCACAATACTGTCTCCTACCACTATTGCATTGCTATTTTCTTCCCCAACTTGAATGGCTCCCTGTACTATGGTTTCGTGGTCAGATCACTCATTCGCTGTGTAATCCTCACTCTTGTTCACACAGCTTGAAAGAACCTTGTAACTGTTGGATTATTGCAGGGAGAGAGGCTCCTTGAGAGCTGCCCCTTGGGTGCCCATACCTGCCTCACTTGCTCCTTGATCACAGATGAAATAGGAATTACGAAATCTAACGGGTGTGACCACCTCCTGGAGCAAAGTGTTCAGGTAAATTTGCCATTCCATGACATCTACAGTTTGGACTTCAGCTCCTCAGTTTGAATCCAAAGTTGCTTGAGAGCAAACACTTGCTACAGCTGTTTTAAATATGCATCACCTTGGAGCTCAGCAGTGTCCATATGCTACAGCTGCAACACATCACCTGATCTGCCATTTCTATCATATTTTAATTAAGTTAGCAATTAAATCACTCTTGTACTCTATTCTTTACATTTGTAGGATCCTTACTCTTTAACACTTAGTAATCCACAAACTTTGTTTTAACCAGCACCTTACCAACTGGGAGTCTTGATAAACTAGCAAAAAGTATATACCTCAAATACCACAATGTACTGCGATGTCTGAGTATTTATGCTGTAAATAAACTATAATGGTGATGAGTATACTCCAGAATTATGTTACTATTACTTACTGTGTGTTTTCACATTGGTTTTAGGAGGAATGTTAATGTTTTTACATAAATTTTTTTGAGGGATGTTGAAGTCTCAAAGCTTTGCCTGGTCAGGGTTTACCACAGTTTGTGCATACCTCTTGATTATCTGGAATATTTGATCAACCGGCATACTTCTGGTCCCATATGTGCTGGTTAATAAAATGTTTGCTGTGTTTTTTGTTCTTTTATTAATGCACTAGTGTCATACACTATTTTATCTAATACGCTATTTTTAAAGAAAAAGTGACATGAACACAAACTGAAGACCATAGTTTCACTTTGAAGACTAGAATTTTAAAGATTAGTCAGAGCAGCAATGGGAGTGGAACAGAGCTAAATCCAGAGGAGGAACTCTGAAGTGATGTCACAATTCAAAAAGTCACATAGACTGCTTGGAACCATCTTTACAGACTGATTGTGTAATACCAGGGAGTGTTGTTTGTAGTTCATAAAGTTCACAATGGCAGGAGAACTCAGGCCATGGAATGCTCCTTCTGCAATATGTGGGAAATCAGGGACACTTTCAGTGTTTACGGTGACCACATATATAGGAAGTGTGTTCTGCTGCAATTCCCGATTAGCTGCGTGGAGGTGCTGGAGCTGTGATGCTGAGGTTAGAATGTTTAGTGAGCTGGTCACACCATAAGTAAGGACTACACAGGCAGAATAGCGTTGGGTGATCACCAAGAAGACTAGTAATCTTGGGCAGGCAGTGCAGGAATCCTGTGAAGCCATTCCCCTCTCAAACAGATATACCATTTTGGATACTGTTGGTGGGGAGGATTCCTCTCAAGAAGCAGCAGCAGCAGCCAATTTGGTGGCACTACATTTGGCTCTGCTGCACAGCAGAGGATGAAAAAGACTGGGGAGCTTTAGTGATACGGGACTCCATTGTAAAGGAATCTGACAGGTGGTTCTGAGGAAGCAAACAAGACTCCAGAGTGGTATGTTAGATCCCCAGTGCCAGGGTTGGGAATGTCTTAGAGTGGCTACAGGGCATTCTGAAGGGTGAAGGTAAACAGCCAGCAGTCTTGGTACATGTGGGCACCAACAACATGAGTAAAAAAAGAATGAGGTCCTGCAGCAGGAAATTACATACCTAAGTAATAAATTAAAAAAGAAGACTATGAAGGCTGTAATCTCTGGATTACTTCCACTATCATACACTACTGAGTATAAGAAGATAGGTCAGATGATCATTTGGCTAAAGGGATGGTTGTAGGAGGGAGGACTTTTGATTTTTGGATCACTTCTGGATAGGTAGGACTGGACAAGCTGGACAGGTTGTACCTGAAAATGAAATGGGTCCTGGCTGGGAGGTTTGCTTATGCTGTTGGGGAGGATTTATACTGATTTGGCAGGGGTATACTTTTTTTCTTCATTCACGGGATGAGCGTGTTGCTGGCTAGGCCAGCATTTCTTGCCCAGAGGGCAGTTAGGAGTCAACCACATTGCTGTGGGTCTGGAGTCACATGTAGGCCAGACCAAGTAAGGATGGCAGTTTCTTTCTCTAAAGGACGTTAGTGAACCAGATGGATTTTTCCAACAATCAACAATGGATTCATAGTCATCATTAGACACTTTATTCCAGATATATATTGAATTCAAATTACACCATCTGCCATGGCAGGATTCCTGCGATAATACCACTAGGCCATCGCCTCCCCACAATGGGCATGGGCACAGTGCATGTAAAGTTGGGAGCAAGGCCCAATCAAGTTGTGGAAGGAATGCCAGGACAGTCCAGTAGGCGGAGAAGACATGGGCAGGATAAGGCACATGGACATCTAGAAAGCTAAAGTGTATCTATTTTAATGCAAAGAGCTTGATTGGTAATGAACATAGAGCACTGATCACCAGTCTAACTATGATATTGCTGCAATCACTGAGACATGGTTGAAAGGAGGACAGGACTGGCAGCTCAATATTCCAGGACATAGAATTTTCAACAACAACAAAAACAAAGTTGCTGGAAAAGCTCAGCAGGTCTGGCAGCATCTGTGAAGGAAAAAACAGCATAAACGTTTCGGGTCCGGAAAGAATAGAGGAAGGGTCACCAGAACCGAAACGTTCACTCTGTCTTTTTCTTTCACAGCTGCTGTGAGACCTGCTGAGCTTTTCCAGCACCTTTGTTTTTGTTCCAGATTTACAGCATTCACGGTTCTTTCAGTTTTTATGTAGAAATTTCAAGCCAAATGTGGGGGGTGGAGATGTAAGAAAGATGGGGGCATTGCATTATTGATAAAAGAAACCAACATTGCAGCATGAGGGAGGATATCATAGAAGGGTCTTAAAATGTGGCCATTTGGGTACAGTTTAGAAATTAAAAAAGAGGTAATTACCTTGCTGGGATTATACTACAGGCCTCTCAACAAACAGAGGGAGGGATAGGAGCAAATATGTAAGCAAATCACAGAAAAGTGTGAGAGAAACAGAGTTGTAGTTGTAGAGGACTTCAATTTTCCTAACATTAGCTGGGATCACCTTAGTGTGAAAGGATCAGACGGGGTGGAATTTTTAGAATTTTAATGAATTAGAATTAGATTTTATTGAGTATAGTGAAAAGTGTACCATGTCACAATTCCTGGCGCCATCTTAGGTACAAAGTCAAACAATAAAGAAACATAGTTAAAACTTAAACACAACAGTCCTTCTTAGTATTAAGTAGAAAAATAAAGAAATAAAGTTAAAAGCTCAACAGTCTGTCTTAAGTGCTCAGCCATGCTGGGCTCACACTCCCTACAAGGGTTTGATCTCCTCTGCTTTGGCTTGCTCTCCAGGAGACTTCAGACTGCCTGCTTTCACCACCACATTGCCGATGCTAGGGACTTCCTTCACCGCCGCACTGGGCTTGATCTCTGACTGTCAAAACCTTGATCAAGGCCCCTAGCCGCTGCCACACACCAGACCTCTAGCTGATCTCTACAGTCCTGATCCAAGCTCCCAGCCGCTGCCATGCTCTGGACCCAACAAATCTGCAATGCATTGCTGCCGCTGCCTCCATGACCAAACTCTCTCCAGAAGGTAAGTTAAGTAGAAAAAGAAACAAACTTAAAAAAAAGGAGAAAAGAAGAAAAAGAAATAAAAAACTAGATAAAAGTGGACAGAGTGGACGCGAGGTTAACATGGACTGAGGAAAATGCATCCAGGAGAGTTCCTGTGCCACTACATAGATAGTCCAACTAGAGATGGGACAATGCTAGACCAAATGCTAGAGAATGAAGCTGGTCAAGTGGTTGAAATTTCAGTGGTGGAGTATTTTTGAGGATGGTGAACAAAACTCTAACTTTAAAAGTCATTTTAGAAAGGGATAAGGATAGCGCAAAAACTAAGTTTCTAAATTTTGTTAAGGTCAATTTTAATATCATTAGCTAGGATCTGGCAAACATAGACTGGGAGCAGCTTCTTGCAGGTAATTCTACATTTCGAAAGTGGGAGTTTTTTTTAAAAAGTAGTATATTGAGAATTCAGGGTTAGCATGTTCCTCTAAGAGTGAAGGACAAGGACATCATGTCAAGGGGACCCTGGATGTCAAGGGATATCAAGAGTTTAGTTAAGAAAAAGAGGGAAGCATATGTCAGGTACAGTGCATTAAAACTGAGGGAGGCCCTTCAACAGTGTAGACAGTGTAGGAGGTTGCTTAAAAAGGAAATTAGGAGGGAAAACAATGGCCATAAGGTATCTTTGGCAGATGGGATCAAGAGAAACTTCATGGCTTTTTAAAAGTATATTAAGCATGAGAGAATTACCAGGGAAAAAGTGGGACCTAGTAGAGATCAAAGGGGCAAACAGTGTGTGGAGCCAGTGGACATGGGTGAGGCCCTAAGTGAATACTTATCATCTATATTTACAGAGGAGAAACTCATAGTGGCTGGGGATTTCAGTTGGGATGGTGATGTTCTAGAACTGTTAAGATTAAGAAGGATGTATTAGGCATTTTTAACAGGCATACCAGTGCACAAATCCCCAGGGCCTGATGAGATGCTTCACAGGCTGCTATGGGAGACAAGGGAGGAGATTGCTGGGACCCTGGCGAGGATATCTAATATCTCACTGGCTACCTCTGGGTAGTTTAGTGAAGTGCCAGATGATGAAAGGATAGATAATGTAATTCCTTTGTTTAAGAAGGACGGCAGAGATAGTCCAGGTAATTATAGACCAGTTAGTTTGTCATCACTGGTAGAGATTTCATTAGAAAAAATTCTGGAGGACAGGATTAATCAATACTTGGAAAGGTATTGATCAGGGATAGTCAGCACAGAAGTGTTAGAGGGAGATCCTGTCTGACTAATTTAATTAGATTTTTGAAAAGGTGACTAAATATATTGATGAGGGTAGTGCAGTTGATGTGGTTTACATTGGACTAATAAGGCCTTTGACAAGGTCTCAGATGGAATGATGGTCCAATAGTTAAGAGCCAATGGGATTCAAGGCAAGTTGACAAATTGGTTCCAAAACTGGCTTAGAATAGGAGGTAAAGAATGATGGAGGGGGTTGTTTTTATAATTGGATACCTCTGACCAGCACTGTACCACAGAGTTTGATGATGGACCCGTTTTTGTTATTTATATCAACAGCATGGATGTGAACGTAGGAAGAATAAATAGTAAGTTTTGCAGATGATATGAAAATTGGTGATGTTATTGAATATTTTTGAATAGATTTGTAGCTCAGGTTGTGGATGCTGTGGTTGCTTTGCTCGCCAAGCTGGTTCATTGGTTTGCAGACGTTTCATTGCCCTCTTGGTAACATCATCAGTGCAGCCTCCAATGAAGCGTTATTGTATTTTCCCACTTGCTATTTAAACTCTGGGGTCTGTTGGAGTTGATTACCTCATTTCCAGTTTTTCTTTGCAGTGGTGTGTACACAGGGTCTAATTCTGTGTGTTTATTGAAGGCTTTCTTGGTGGAGAACCAGGCTTCTAGGAATTCCCGTGCTTGTCTCTATTTGGCTTGTCCTAGTATCCTGACTTTGTTCCAATCGAACTCGTGGTCCTCCTTGTCTGTATGTATGGAGACGAGTGAGTACTGGTCGTGTCTTTTTGTTACTAGTTGCTGTTCATGTATTCATATAGCCAGTTTTCGTCCTGTCTGTCCAGTGCAATGTTTGTGGCAGTCTTTGCATGGAATCTTGCATATTATGTTAGTTCTGTCCATTGTGGGTAAGGGATCTTTGGTTCTTGTTAGCAGTTGGTGTAGGGTTGATGTAGGTTTGTGTGCCACTCTGATGCTCAGTGGTCGTAGGAGACATGTGGTCCGTTCAGATACGTTCTTGATGTATGGTAACGTGACAAGTGTGTCGGCATGTACTGTATCTTCCTGTTGTTGTTTGTGTGACAGGCATCGCTGGACCTAGCTGTTCAGGTATCCGTTGTCTCTAAATACTTGGTGGAAGTATTCTTCCTCATTTTGGCGTAGTTCTGGGTTGCTGTAGTATGTTGTCGTTCATTTCAATAGTGTTTTCACGCAACTCTGTTTGTGGGTGTTGGGGTAGTTACTGTTGAAATTTAGGACTTGACTCAAGTGTGTGGGCTTTCTGTATACTTTGGTCAGAAATTCCCCATTGGCCTTACATTCTACTATCATGTCCAGGAATGGGAGTTGTTTGTTCTTTTCTTCTTCTCTGGTGAATTTGATGCCAGTGGTTTGTTGGTGTGTTTCTTCTAGTTTAGTTCATTTGATGATGATGAAAGTGTTGTCCACATATCGGATCCATAGTTTGGGTTGGATCTTTGGAAGATCATGCTTTCAAGACTCTGCATCAATGCTTCTGCTATTAGTCCAGAGATGGGTGACCCTATAGGTTTCCTGTTGATTTTTTCGTCGATCTGGCCATTAAAGGTAAAGTGGGTTGTGAGGCATAGGTCCAGTAATTTCAGCATGTTCTCAGTGGGAATGGTGTTATTCGGGACCAGTTCCTTCGGTAGTGTGGCTAGTATTTCTCTTGCCAGTGGTGTGTTGATTGATGTGAATAGGGGAGTAACATCAAAGGATACCATGGTCTTGTCCTCGTCTATTCTTATGTCTTTGAAGGTTTTGAGGAACTCCTGGGCTGAGTGGATTGAGTGGGTTGAGTTGTTGATGAGGTGCTTCAGTCTTCATTGTAATTTTTCCGCTAACCTACGTGTTGGTGTGCCTGGGAGAGACACTATGGGTCTGAGGGGTACTTCTGGTTTGTGTGCCTTTGGGAGGCTGTAGAATCAGGGTGAGGGTGCAGGGTGGGGTTGGGGGGGGAGGCGGGGGGTGGCGGTTGTGTTTGTCCCTTCAGGTTTCATTTTAGGTAGTCTGCTTCGTTGATTTGTCCGATCTGTTTGAGTCTCTTTAGTATGTAGATGATTTTGTTTCCCTGTTGTGGTGTCGGGTCAGTTTCCACTTGTTAGTATGTAACTGCTAACAAGAACTAAAGGCCACTTACCCACAATGGACAGAACCAACGTAATATACAAGATTCCATGCAAGGACTGCGACAAACATTACATTGGACAGACAGAAAGAAAACTGGCTACAAGAATACATGAACACCAACTATTAACAAAAAGACACGACCAATACTCACTTGTCTCCATATGTACAGACAAGGAGGACCACCAGTTCGACTGGGACAAAGTCAGGATCCTAGGACAAGCCAAACAGAGACAAGCACGGGAATTCCTAGAGGCCTAGTTCTCCACCAAAAAGGCAATCAATAAACACATAGAATTAGACCCTACATACACACCACTGCAAAGAAAAGCCGGAAATGAGGTAATCAACTCTAACGGACCCCAGAGTTTAAATAGCAAGTCGGAAAATACAACAATGCTTCATTGGAGGCTGCACTGATGAGTGAGTCAACCACGGATGTTGTTGATACTGAGGAGGATGTTCTCGGGCTATAGTTTGATATTGATCAGCTGGTAAATTGGGCAAAGCAATGGCAAATAGAATTCAATCCCAATAAGTGCAATATAATGCATTTTTGGAGGTCCAGTAATGAAAGGACATTCACAATGAATGGTAAGTCTGTAGGGAGTATTGAGGAACAAAGGGACCTTGGTGTTCAAGTCCATAGATTCCTGAAAGTGTCAGTATAGGTAGAAAACAGAGCATATGCATAAATGGGTCTTTTCAAATTGACAGGATGTAACGAGTGGAGTACTACAAGGGTCTGTGCTGAGCCCATAACTCAAAGATATTGATGACTAGATCAAAAGCATAGTGACTAAATTTGCAGATATCACAAATAAGGTACGTTATGAAGTTGATAGAATGAGGATGTAAACTACCCAGAGGTAGTTTAAGTGAGAGCAAAAATCTGGCAGATTAGAGTATAATGTGGGAAAATGTTGTTATTCTCTTTGGCAGGAAGAAAGAGGAAAAAGATGGTAATATTTAACATACTTGGAATTCTGAAGTGGAGTGAGAGCCAGATGTTTTAGTAGATATGTCACTAAAAGCTAATATGCAGGTTCAGCATATATCAAAAAAGCTAATGGGATGTTCTTTGATTCAAGAGAAAATGGACATAAAAGGGAGAATATTATACTTCAGTTACATATACAGGGAATTGGAGAGACCACATCGTGTAAACTGTGTGCAGTTCTGGTCTCCTTATTTAAGGAAGGATGTGAACGTATTGAAGGCAGCTCAGAGGAGGTTTACTGGAATGAGCAGGTTGTTTTATGGGGAAAGAATGGACAGGCTGGGTTTGTTTTCACTGGAGTCGAGAAAAGTGAGGCATGACGACTGAAATTCAAAAGATGCTGATTCGTCTTGGCAAGGTGGACATGTAAACAATGTTTGCTGTTGAAAATGAGTCCACAGCTAGGGGACATGCACATAAAATTAGGGTCACCCTTTTAGGTCAAAGCTGAGAGGATTTTCTTATGGAGGGTTACGTGAATTTGGAACATTCTGGCTCAGGTGGTGGTGGGGTTGAGGTCATTCAATATTTTCAAGGTGCAGGCAGCTTGATTCACTTGCCTAAGAAGGAGCTAAGGATACTGGGGAGGGATGGGAATGGAGAATTTGGAACACAAACAAATC